ATGATCATTAAGTGAGAAATCACATCACCACAACATGTAACCTCCTGCCAACTTCCCATTAGCTTTGCTTGTTGGAAGCTGACAGGGAAAGCCACAAACGGTGACCACATGACAATCAGATGCTGTGACTATCATAAATGTGGAACAGTTGTCAAGTGCCTGAATTGTGATTACATGATTGCAAGGATACTGTGATGTTCATGGGTGCACAGACTGGTTGTAAGTCACTTTCTTCAATGCTGCCATAGATTTAAGCAGTTGTTAAAGGAGTGGTCCTTAAACAAGGACAATCTGTATTTATCAGCCAATTACCTCCTCAAGATCTTTCTTTGTCCTGCTGCCCCATAAAAGAAAATAGATTTTGTTAGCTAGACAGTACCCCAAGACTTAGACTGAGAATAACTTTATTGTCACTTTGAATTTACACTAATTGGCATACATTACAAAGAAATTTTGTTGCATACAGCTCTCAAAGGGTCTCCACCTCTAATATACACTACATAAACATGATAAGATAAAAAAATAAATAAACACAAAATTATGCATGTACCCACATATATTATATGACCCACAGAAACAAAACAGTCTAGTTCGGATGTATACATGTACATGGCGAGACAAACAAATCTTGTGAGTTTACCAGATGGATGGCATATGGAACAAAGCCGTTACAGAATCTGATAGTCCTGCTAGAAATACTTCGAAATCTCCTCCCAGAGGGGAGCAACAAAAACAGATCATGAAGTGGGTGTGTGAGGTCTGTAACAATACTTTGAGCTCTAAGCACATGGCAGTATCCTGAATGACAGGAAGCAAACTTCCTATAATCTTCTCTGCTGTCCTTACCACTCTCTGAATGGTCTTTCTATTTAAGGCACTGTTGCCACCAAACCAAACAGCGATGCAGTTTGTTGAAACGCTCTCAATTGTGCCTTCGTAAAAAGCGCCCAGGATAGAAGGAGAAAGATGTGCTCTCCTCATCCGACACAGGAAATGCAAGAAAAGCAAAGTTAATGCAGTTTTTCGGGCAAAATAGAACGTCCATACAATGATGAAAGCTGACCTATGTTATAGATCCCTAATAAGGAAACCTTCTAACAAAGGACCTTGTTTACTATGCACTTCCGGTGTTTCTCCGAAGCACGCACGAACAGTTCATCGATTGGCCACAAGATGGCACTCTTAGTAAAGACTTCAACGTCCACCTTTTGGTGGTGCTGAAAAGAAAAAAAAAAATGTGTTCCTTGAAAAAGGAGCATGACTCCCATTTTTCCAACGTGTCACACCGTTCGGATGGTACTGAGGTTCTTTCCCTGTCCCAAGCGAACTCCTTCTTTGCAAAGAAAAAGCTGCGGCGGCGGCGGTGGCGACCGCTCGCTCCAGGAAAGCAAAGTACCAACTCAGCATAACCCGAGTTGGGGTTGCCTTGAATGCTTTTCCAGCCCAGAGCGCCGTCGCCACAGGCTCCTGCCTTGACCACTTCAGCAAGCAGCCCCCGCCCCCACCGCCGCCCAGGATCCCCGAGCCCTAAACAATGGGTGGATTGTGCAAGATCAACCCCAGCACTGGCTTTCTTGCTGAGAGCTCCCTAGACTCTTGGCTCCGGATGTGCCAAATATAAACCGCGCAGTAAAGCAAACGAGAAAGTCCAGAAACCGAATTGGGGAGCGGGGGGAGGGGAACAGAAGAAGATCGGCCGGGCAGGGTGAATTCCACACATCAAATCTAGGCAGAGAATTGTTGCTGTGTCTTTTGAAAGGCATTCGTGCCTCCCCCCCCAAAGTGTTTTATAAGAAAAAGCAGAACAGTGTTCTGAACCTTGCATACAAAACTCATTCCCTCCAAGGCGCCATTAGGGCCAAATTTTCTTTAAACGACTCCGACCACTTAAGCCGAGACAACTACAAATCGGAAGGTACGAATCTGCGTCCGACCTGCGTCTCGCCTAAATTAAGCGGTCGCCAGGCTCGTAGCACGTGCCACGCTAACTCTGTCTTCGCTGCTCGACTTCCCCCTGAAATCTCCCTTCTCCGCAAAAGAAGCGGGTCGAGGGTTCAGCCTGAATCCAAACCTCGTCCTATCTGTAGCTTCGCGCCTGCCAGACGAAGAAGCCTTTTCTCAAAGCAAGGCACGCTTGAACCCCTGAACTCTGGCCTCCCCCGTGCGGCTTCATCCAAGCGATTGAGATTAGTCGTAGCTGGTCATTGAGAGAACAAGAAAATTACTCTGGGTCCCTTAAAAGGACCGAAGCTGCAGAAACCAGAAGTTCAAGCGCACCTACCAGAAGTGTGTTAAAAACAGCTTGTTCCAATGTGACGCCCTTCAGATGGGTTGAAAGGAGAAATCTCCAGGTGCCCATTCAGCAACCGCCCTCCCATCTGTAGGGCAACGCGTTGGGGAAAATTGAACGTAAATATCGGTGCAGGCCAAGGGAGCGATCCTTTGCATTTGTGCTCTGGATTTCAGTAGCCTGGTTGGCTTCTGTCCCATCTTCCTTTCTTGTGTTGGTCGGCGCAAATTCCCTTCACCAAATTTTATGACTTTCGCGGTTCCCCAACCCCTGTTTCTCGCCTGCCCCACCCCACCATTAAAAGCCTTCCGCTCCGACTAAAAGGGTGCGAAGTGGACGTTTCAATAAATTTCGCTCTAGTAAAGTGGACTGGCCGTCGATTGGTGTGTGGGTGCCTGCGCTTTTGGTAAAGTGATTTGCCATTTATTTAGATCAAGTGATTCCTGTAATTAAACGATTAGGGATTTGCTTAATGTGATTTTATAAGGGCTGCGCCCGTTTCCAAAGAAAACAAGGTACTCGAGTCTCCTGTACACTAAGCAAACTCACAAGAGCGCAGTTACCGGGTCTTCGCAGAGCAAACAGTCCTAAATCTGGAGAATAAACAGTTCGCAAAAGAATCTGTCGCTCCAGGCCATTGAAAACAGCGCCGGATTTGTTTGCCTGACTTTGAGGTTTTTTTAAAAAAAACACATTAATTTCTACCACCTTCATTTCCCCCTCCTTCCTCAGCCCTCTTCCAAGAGGTTCGTAGGTCACCATAGAAGGTATCTGAAGCGATTTCAGAATCGCTGTCCAAACCTGGTGCCCTCCCCACCACCGATGATGGAGAACATGGGAGATCGTGGTGGCTCCATGGAGCAGGGATGGTCCTAAAGATGTGGCTGGATGTCCCTCCAGTTTTAGCCAAAGAAAGTCAGAGGTGAATGTTAAGAATTATATTCAAAGTTTATCTGAGGAGAGGTCACAATCCGGGCCCCAGTTCTTCAGCGCAGCAATTAAGGCTCCAAAACAAGGGTTTTGGTTAGGCAATCTCATAGGTAGGAAGTTTCAGATATATTTTTTGTACTTCTTTAGAGGTTGTTCCCTCAACTGCAAAGGGCCCCTGTAGTTGTGCACAGATCACTATAGAAGCAGAACACTTTGCTCTCGAAAAAAAATCCAACTATTGAAGGCCAAAACATTTGGGGAAGGCTGCTTTGGCTGTGAAGTTATAGGAACTGTAGTCCAATGAACATAGAGAGTGGAGAAAGCCATCTTGAAAAAGAGGATAAGCTGCAGCAGGGACTCTAAGAGACTAGCAAGGGAGCCATTGACTAGGAGACAGGGAGAAAAAAGTTTGAGACTGAAATCTCAGTCTCATTGACTGAGTCAACTTGGCAGATATCTTGTAGGGTTTCTGCCTTACTTGCAGCAAAGCAGCTAATCTGGGAAACTATTTCTGTTGCTGAATCCTGGAGAATAAATATTTATTGCCATGCTGGTGAAGACTGGCAAGGAGGAGAAGGAAGAGGAGAGAGAGAGAACCTCCCTGGAGTATAGAAACACATGTTCTTCACCTACACACTTGAAAAAAAAATGACTGTTATTTGGAGGAGTTGAAAGTTTTCTCATACAATGTAATTCTCTACTAGAGGCCCACTTGTGCCTTTCCTCATGCCTTGAAGTAGGCACCCCAAGTTGAAGTAGGACAGTTACGATCCCAGCTGACCTCAGTAAGCCAAAGCTGGTGATTCCAGTGTCACTGATGTCTTTCTTGGAGACATTTTCTGAAAGAAATAGTATTTTTACAAGCTGATTTGATAAAAGTTCCCTCTTGATAAAAGAGATCTACAATGAAATAGAAAGCATTTCATGTCAACTGGGTCTTTACTCCTATTGACTCCAGAATAAGACACAAATACAGCATTATACTACAGCACTAAGAATATGACCATTGAAATGAAACTTCGATTCATTTAACAGAAATTTTCATGGCTTATTTAAGGCTTGGGAATAAATTATTGAAATTGTCCCAGAGACTCTGTGGAGTCCCTTGTTATAATATTTCCCCACAGCCTTGCTGTTATGCCCACGATTAGCTCCATTTTGTGGATAGGAAAACTGACTAGAAGAGTCAGAGGGTTGTCCAATATCCTGTCAATAGGAAAGAAAATCTTATTTCGGATGTGATTCCTTTCTTCTTCCAACCCGCGTACTCTTTTGTATGCATTTGTGTCTTTATTTTATCTCTTTATTTTATCTCTTTATAGTTATCTCTTTTTTTAAAAAAAACAACTTTTTTTATCTCTTCACCTCTTTCAATGCACACTAATTTCACATCTGCCAAGAACACCCAAGAGAAGGGTGAAAGCTTCTACGCATTGCCCGAGAACTGATGCGCGCCTCGTCCATCCTCTTTACTTGAACCTGGGGCTGCACACTGATATGGAAAGACAGGGGCCAAACGTTCACACGTGGGGAGGGGAGAGAAAAGCCTTATTCCCCAAGGCGCTATTTTCCTCCTTGTCTGTAAATTGCACAAACTTGACGGTTCCATGCTTTTAAACGCCATTTCTGCCCCTCCCGGCCAATGGGCTACAAGGCTCAGAACCCCGAGATAATAGTGACGTTCGAATGCCCCCCTCCTTTTTTTAAGGGAGCGTGAATGGAACTTTCAAAGGAAGCCAGCCAGCAGAGCGCTTTGTTGTGCTAAACTAGTTGGGCGAGTTAGGGTGTCGCTGCTCCTGATTGCTCTGGCCAATGGAACCCGATCCACCCCGCTGTGCGTAAGAGCGCAATTAAGGATTTAACCAAGCCTCTACGCTGCCTGCGAGCAGTCTGCCAGAGCTATAACCAGCTCCAGAGAGCTCCCAACCGTCGCCACCTCCCTCTCTCCCTCCCTCCCTCCCTCGCTCCCCCCGCCATGGCTGCCTAGAAGACCCAGCCGCACGGCCGCCGCTTGCCTGCTTGCCTGCCAGCCAGCTATGACAGGGGTCTTTGACAGAAGAGTGCCCACCATCCGATCCAGCGATTTCCAGTCCCCCTTTCCGAGCAGCGCAACTGCCGCCACCATGCACCATCCGCCCCAAGAGTCGCCCACTTTACCCGAGTCTTCAGCAACGGACCCCGACTTCTACAGCTCGCCGGGAAGCGCCCCGCATGGCTACGCTTCGCCTTCCTCGGCATCCTATGGCAAAGCGCTCCATCCTTACCAGTACCCCTACCAGGGCATGAGTGGAACCGCCGCCAACTATCCCGCCAAAGCCTACGCCGATTACAGCTATGCCAGTCCCTACCACCAGTACGGCGGGGCTTATACTAGGGCACCGAGTACTGCCAGCCAGCCAGGTGAGAGGCGCCGCCGTAGCAGCAGCAGCCGCCAGCAGGGCATGGGGAGGCGGGAGAGCAGTGCTTAGACAGGCCGAGGGGTGCACTGCAGGTAGGGGATGCGCCGCTCCTCTCAGGCCGCCTGGGGACGGCGTGGAGCTCGGCCCGGCCCGATGCTCGCTCCCGCTGAAGGATCCAGGTCTGGAGGGTGAACTGAGATGTGTGTGTGAGAGGGGAGGAGATGGAGAAAAATAAACTTTCTTTATAGCCCCATAAAACCAGAATTGAAAGGCAGCGAATTTGGAACATGGAAAGTGGGACAATCAAAGGTCTCCCTTCCTCCTAGGGCTACGCATTAACAATAACAACAAAAAGAGTGCGGCTGTGAAAAATTGGGCTCTTCGGTGGACTATTTCAACCCCTCTCCCCCCCACATTTGTGTACCCATTTTTTTTAATATCGCAAAATGACTGGAAAACCTGATCCCTCATGTATTTTTTTGCATGAAGACGGGCTGAGTTGGAGAGGGGAACAAATGGGAATACTCTCATTTGATCTTTTTTCCCCTTCTTCTTCCCCTTCCGGTGGAAGGAGGGGGAAGGGACCGAAGGTCTCCTGAATAGCGCTAATATGAACGCCCAAATTCGGATGCTGGTTTGCTCCCACACACGGAGAAGCGCGGTTGGAACGGCTTCCTTGTGGTTCCTCGGGAAGCAGACTCGAGGAAAATGAAGCGCTTCTTTGGAGGCAGCTCGGAATTCTTTCTCTCCGCCACCACTCACCCCACGCCATCCCACCCCCGGCCCTATTCTGTGAATCAAAGGCGGGGAAACTTTTGCGGCTGCCTGGAAGTTTCCTCACCACTTTCCTTCTAGTTACCCGAAATCTGTACATAACTCTGGGTCTTTCTATGTGTGTGTATGTGTGTATATACACATACATACATACATACATACATACATACATACATACATACATACATATATAGAGAGAGAAACATGCACATACATTTCTCTCTTCTCGTCCACCACCCTGGTATTTCTATGTGTTTCTTCGGCTGGCGACGCTCTCCCCAAAATAGAGGGAAACTGCCAGTGGCGCACTGTGTCTTCGTAAAAGGAACCAGACGCAACCGCGCCTCTCCTCTCCCCCTACCCCACCCCCGGCCGATCGGCGGCGAGATTATTCTGTATAATCGACTCTCTGTCTGGGCCGGATTTGGCTACTTTCGGCTCAGATGGAGGGAAACGCTCCCTTTCTTTTCCTTTTTTTCTCCCTGTGGTGGGGGCTTTGAACTCTACATATCTCAGATGGTCTCTGGTCAGGGTTGAATGCATGAAGCCCCCAGTCAAACGGGGAGAGGGAGAAAGAGGGCGAGGTGGGGAGAAAGCAGGATCAGGGCTGAAGAAAGTGCAAAGTTTTGTGTAATCAAAGGGCTGTTTTAAGGGGACATTTTTAAAGCCCACCTCTTCTCTCCAGCTTCATGCGGGCACGCGCACCTCTGCCACTCAGTTCCTGCCTTCTTCTTTCACTTAAACGCTTATCCAGATAAATAACATCTCGGGGAGAGAATACATTTCGGCATAGGAGATGGCCATGCCTGTCCTCCAACTAATTTAAAATTGGCCAAGGGTTTGGGCCTGCCAGTCCGTTTCCGCACCTTCCTGATCTTCCAGTGTCTCTCCAGACCAAACTCGTTGCATTTGTTTACAAATTTGAGCCAAGTCTGGGTCAGCAGGATAATTGCGGGCCCATCTGCCAGATTCGGGGCAGGGGAAGGGAAGTGGGCGTGGTGCCTAGTTTTCATGATCATCTTCTCTTCCTCCTCTTCCTCCTCCTCCTCCCCTTCCTCTTAAGTCTGTTTTTCTTCTCCCCTTCCCTGCATCCCTATAGAAAAAGAGGTGGCTGAACCCGAGGTGCGGATGGTGAACGGCAAACCAAAGAAAGTGCGAAAGCCAAGGACTATTTACTCGAGTTTTCAACTGGCGGCTTTACAACGGAGGTTCCAGAAAACTCAGTATTTGGCTCTGCCCGAGAGAGCCGAGCTGGCCGCCTCTTTAGGCCTGACGCAGACTCAGGTAAGGACCGGCGGCCGGGGCTCGGGGCTCCCCCGCGTCTCTCACGGTGGGCGAAACGCCCCCAGACATTCCGCATTGGGCTGCTCTCCAAGGGACAGTTTCACCTGTGATGGCGCTGAGCAATCCGGACTCTTTCCGCGAGGAGCTTGTGGGGAGCTTCTGTAGGCCGGAAGGCACGGGGGAGGGGAGGGCAGGGAAGGGAGTGCATGCGTGCGGGCGTGTGTTGGATGTTCATTCGTTTAATCTTCCGCCCGAGCATTTCTCCGTGCGAGGTTTCTGGTGAATCCGCCAAACGGGCGCCTGATTCCACCGTCAGCGGCATCAGCCAGATCCCTTTGGGGCGGGGAAGTGGATCTTAAGGCAAATTCAGAAAGCTGCGCCTTACTGAGTGGAAATTAACCGGCCTTAACTTCGGCAAAATTCCGACTTGGTTCCCAAGCGCTTTGTTTACAGTCTGGATTCCCAGCATTCTAGCGGTGGGCTTTTCGACAGTCCCCGAGTGTTTCGACCTTCTCGGGATCAAAAGGGGGGGAGGGGTAAGGGGGGAGGATCTTCTACTGATCAGCTCAAGGGGGAGGGAGTCTGCTTGTCAGAGGGCTACGGAGGACCGTGGTGGGGACTGCTGGGGAGGCTTGGATCACGCAGAAAGGGTTTTACGTGCATCAGGTTTAGTTCCGTTTTGTTAGGAGTAGGTGTTCAACCGGCGTCCTCTTTTCGTTTGTTTTATTCCCTTTTCTGTTTTCCTCTCCTCACCCTCCATGTTTTCAAAACTATTTGGGACAACTGCTGTATGGTTTAAATATCTGCCTCATGTCCAGAGGCTGGGTAAAAGCACTGACACACTATATTATATCCCATTTTTAATATTATAAACGCCATTCCTTTAAGGATTTTTTTTTTTTTTTTTTTGCATTTCGTATTTTCCGTGCATGTATTAGGAACAAAAAGTGTTTGTTTTCCTTCTTGTATCTGATGCTCTGGCCCACTCTGGAGACTGTTTCTCCCGATAGAGGCAAGTTCGAGCAATAGAAGAGATTTAAGTCTTAGACCCTGCGGAAGGCCAAGAGGTATTTTAGGATATTTAAAAGCTACTACCTTGAGCTCGCTCAGGACACTCTTCACGTTCTCACAGTCTCTCTGCCGGCATAGGTGCAAATCTGTGAGGGATTGTTGCCCGTCTAGTCCCCGCTTATCTAATCATTTCTACTTTCTCTGAAGTAAGCGCATTGCTCGGGGCCGGACATGGAGGCAAAGCTCGGGAAGCTGAGATTGTAAACCGACTGATTCAAGAGGGCGTCTTGATCTGCCTTCCGCCGGTTAAGTCCGGGCTGAGAAATGATTTCCGGAGGGAGGGTCCGGTCAGCCTTTTCTTTGCATTTGTGCTTGTCCGTTCGGATTCGACTCTGCCGTTCCTCTCTGACTTTTGCTGCCTCTTTTTCCTCCTCAAGGTGAAAATCTGGTTCCAGAACAAAAGGTCCAAGATAAAGAAGATTATGAAAAATGGGGAGATGCCTCCGGAACACAGTCCCAGCGCCAGCGACCCGATGGCTTGTAATTCTCCACAGTCTCCTGCCGTGTGGGAATCGCAGGGCACAGCCAGATCTCTCAGCCACCATGCTCACACCCACGGGGCAACCTCCAACCCGTCGCCCGCATCCACTTACCTGGAGAATTCCTCTTCCTGGTATTCCGGCGCAAACGCTCTGAATGGCCACCTGCAATCCCACGGCTCCCTCCAGCATTCCTTAGTGTTGGCTTCCGGGACAATCTATTAGAACGGGCGATCCTTTTTTTTTTTAAAACCACCATTCCTTCCTCCCTTGTTTTGGACTCAATTGCTTTTGTTCATGAAGGGAAAGAATAATAATTAATAATAATAATAATAATTAATAAAAGGGGGGACCTTCTCTTTAAGGAAACTATAACAGGATAAAATGTGTAAAGCTTGTGCATGTAATTTATTGCATTTCAAAGGAAACCCCCCTCCCCCATTGCTTTTGTTACGTTTTCTTTTATTTTTGAAGACAAATTTTGGATTTGCGTTTTGTTCTCAGAAGCCTGGACACTTTCAAAGGTGCCTTGAAATCTTATGACCTCAACTTTTTTCAAGAGACTTTTTTTCAATGTCATTTTAATCATGTACATACTTGTAGATAGAGGAATTAAACTGTATATTCTGAATAAATAAAATTATTTCCACGGTGAGGACAAAAATAGAGAGATACGAAACGGCAGGTTGCTATTTCCCCCGCCCCCCTTCCGCTAATGGAAATGAAGTAGCGGACACTTAATAACTGTTCGCTCCTTCCATCCAGCCTCCTTTTCTTCCTTTGCCATTCTTCCTTTGTTTGGATTGCAGTCCTATTGCCGGTTATTTAGAAGCAGCCCTTACATCTTCCTAGGCTGAAATTCAGAACAGTGTTCTATCTCGTCCAGGTTCCCCATGGGTCGGGTCCCGATTCTCCCCACCGTAGGGCGGTTCCGAGGCTCCGACGGACTCCCGCAATCTTTACCGAGGTCTTCAAATCTGCCAGTAAGTCTGGTAGGTTTGGAGATGGGAGACTAAAGTAATGACCGTAGCCTGTTCTGCTGAATGAGGGAGCAAAAGGGAATCTTTTTCCCAAGAAAAATGACCTGAAAGGGGGAGGGGGATCTGGGTCAGAATAAGAATAACAACAACAAAAAATGTTCCCCTGGATTTCTGCTTCCTTTTATTCTCTTAAATTTTCGGGGAAAAGCAAGCGATAATAGCTGGTGAGTGCAAGATCCTGCCTTTCCTACCAAAGGAGCTCCGAACCTGGGCAGTAGCAAATCGAGAAGATGGCACGGAGACTCTGCGCCTCCGGGCTGGAAACAAAGGCGACCTGCGAACAGGACCGGATTTGGTCGAACGCACCTTTGTCGCGTCTCTCCCTTTGCGTCCTCTTCTCCGCGCCACCAGTTCCGAAAGTGAATCGTAATAGGGACCTGGGCAGGGTGTCTGAGGAAGAAGGAGCGGGTTTGTTTCAGGGCTCTTGCGCGCGCGCACACACACCAACCAAACTGGACAAAGTGAACAGTGCTGGGGGGGGTCGTAGTAGGCAACTAGCGTGGTTTTTTTTCCCCTTATGGATCAACACACACACACACACACACCTTTCTTATCCGTCTTCAGCACTTATGTCGACAATAAGGCGGATAATAAGGCGTTCCTTCGAAATCTCCTGCATCCATGTGACAAAGAGTAGGCCTTTAATAGCAGCTTGGGTTTGGAAGTCCTTTTCATGTTGGAAAGAAGGTTGGAACATAAAGAAAACTCATTAAAAATTACATCCTGTCATCTGAGAAGTTCAGCAAGATATGTTTCAGAACTTGGACACAAAACCTCAGAAAAGGCTCCTTTTGTGGCCAGAGCAAATTTTCCTGCCTTTAGGCTCCTTCTCTCCTACCTTCCTTCCTTCCTTCCTTCCTTCCTTCCTTCCTTCCTTCCTTCCTCTCCTTACTTCCTCCCTCCCTCCCTCCCTCCCTCCCCTCTTCTTTCAATTTTGGCTCCAATCAGCAGGAGAAATAGTATTATTGGAACTAAGTTTGTTTGTAATATAGTATTTGACTTTCCCTAGTTCATATAAAACTAAAATGAGATTGCTTTCCTGATACCCCTGTGCCTGGGGATGTGATGCAGAACCAAACATAAGAATATCCTGCTGTTTTAACCTGATCCCTTTCTACAAAATGTTGTTTACGTGGCCATCCCTGCAGTCATTTTAGGAGCGTTTTGCTCCGGGCATTAGTACATCTCACCTCACCTATTCTTTGCCCTTTAAGACGGCGTTACACTATTGACTCAGCTGAGGGCGGACTCAGCGAGCAATGCTGAGAGACAGAAAGCAGATGTTAGGAATCATGGGAATTGTGCTCCATTGACATATAAAAAAGGATTCAACCTACATTTTGCAGCTTTCGATTGGTTAAGGACTCGGGCTTGTGCATGCTAATAAAACCGCTCAGTTTTGACCTATAACGATAATATGACCTTGCTCACTTGCCATTAAGGCGATCTTTCGAAGAGCTTGTACCTCTTCCTTCCTTGTGGTAGAAAATCCTATTAGATTCTCCTCCAGCTGCCTTCGCTCAATAGCTCTGTTTCGTTGGCTATAGAGTCTTGGGTGGCAGGGGTCTGTATAAGCATGGGCATAGAGGTGTACTCTTTTGATAGCCTACCAGGGGCTCCACCCCGAACCCCACCTCGTGCATTTGAGCCAGTCTGAGTCCTTCTTCCTCTGGCTAGGTTTTTGTCCGGCGTTGCCTTAATGTCCGAAAACAAGGAGCAGCATCTGCACAGGGACCTCTTGCCCTTTATCGTCAGTTGGTCCCCGTTTCACCATCTCTTTCCCGAGGATTTTATTTTCGCCTCCTCCTCTTCTGCCCCCTTGGACAAAGGCGCTAGCCCTTAGTATCTTTCTTCGTTCTTTGGGGTGGTAGCGAGGATATATTTGCCAGGCTTTATTCCAAGTAACAGTGTGGGCGCGAGAACAACTATGGCTAGAGAAGAGCGCGCCTCCAGAGATCTGCGACTTTGGAGGGGGGGCGTGGGGCGTGCAGAAGGGCTCGGAATGACTGCACAAAGCTCCTTCCCTAACAAAGATACATATATAATCAACGGTGCTTTAAAACTCTATTCTTAACAGACAGTTTCCCTCCCCCCTCCCTTTCCTCCTCTTCCAAGCGCTGCTGGGGCAGCGGCAGGGGGCGGGCGGGCAGGCGGGAGGAGAACCGGGAGAAGAGCATTCCTGTGGGTGCCGAATGGCTCCAGGGCTGCGCCACAAGGGCTGCCGAAAGAAGCCCAGACCGGAGAGAGCGAGAGCCCGCAACCTCCGCCGGCCTTGATCTCAACCCAGGAAATTCCCCCTCCCCCATTTCTCTCCCTCCCCCCGGACACCCACAGGCGCATCCACCCAGCAGCTCGTCGCGCGCTCCCGGGACGAGGTACGCAAGGTCACGCGCTCTCCCGAAGCCGCACGACTCGTCTGCAGCTAGGAAAGTTCTCCGCTGGATCCGCTCGCTTCACCGCCCGGCAACGTCGGGACTATGCCGGCGCGGGGATAGAACGGGCTTCTCTTTCTCCGCGCTCGTCTCGCCCTTAGCGGGATGCTCCCTGGCTTCTTTGGCGTATTTGACTCGAATGGCTTGGAGTTTCTAGGCCTCGGCATTTGCCTTCTCTCCCTCGCGCTAAGGTGCTCCCTGCAACCTTCCCGTTCCGCTGAAGCCCCACTTCGAATGCCTTTCAATTATGGGAAAGGGCTGAAGCGTTAATCCCACTCTATACCCGCTAGAAAAACACTGGCCTTTACAACGATGGAAGGTTTTCTAGGCAGATACGTTCATCCTATATGCCTAAAAAAGATACCGAAGGAGGTTTCCACCAGATTGTGGCCTTCTGCAAAGTTAGGATGGATCAGCCATCTAATAGGAGTGCTGAATGACAACTCCCATTGTTCCCAGCCACCGCGACCAAATAGGCTGCAAGTGTCGAGATTCCAACCAGTTGGAGGCCTCCAGTTTCGGGTTTATTTATTTAAAACAACCATCAAAGAATCTTAGGCCTACACTTTTCCTTATGGGCTGGTAAAGCGAAAGGAGGCAGGGCGACTTTCGAAAAAGTGCCTAGGCTTTATCACTTTGGAAAAGGCCTGGCGAGCGGTAGCAAAGGTGCAGACCTCCTTCCTCCAGGCCACTAAGCCAGCTTTAATTCGGTTGTGTGCTTCGTGGGTCAGCCCCGAGGACAAAGGCGTGGGCATATGCGCACACGGGTGTGCGCACGCTGGGAAGCTGATTTGCGCAGTAGCAAACGCAGGAGTGATCTTCCTCCTCCTCATCTTCCTTCTCATAACCCGGCCGAGTTTAATATTAATATAATCATCTGCCAGAACTACCCTCCTGAGATCTAATCCTCGCCCCAGACCGATTTTTTTTTTTTAGCAAACAAAACACCAGTTGTGACTTTTAATCAAAGCAAAACACACCTTCACTTTCTCCGGGCCGGAGGGCGATCCATTCGGCAGAAGTCAATTTTCGTGTTCTGCCAGACGGTCCGCGCTGTTATTTAGCTGGTGGGGGCGGGGCTCTTCATTGGGTTAAACCTGACCCAAAAGCAACAGAAGGTGGGAAGTAGCAGAAGCGACAGTGAAAGGATCCGAAGTCACCACCACGGTCCGTCTCCCTTTCCAGCTGTGTTTTGCCAGCATTCCACTCAGGGCCACCGCGCTCTTTCTGGGAGCTCCCCCCCCCCGAAGTTCAGGTATCCCGTCTGTGCACCGGCGTTGCAGTCAGAAACCGTGCAGGCTCTCCTTGGGACGCATCCTGAAAGACTCTTCCTTTTTCCTTCTCCGTCTAAGGTAGAAGGGCAGCTCCAAGGCTTGGGGCTTCCTTAAGGAATGCAAGAAGCAGGGAATCTCATTAGGAGCCGAATTTTGGAGCCCACCAGCAACAAAAAGATCAGAGGAGCTTGGACAAATGCCACCCTACCACTTCTTTTTCAATGGCGGCCGCCAGAGCCCCATAAGAAGTTGGAAAGGTGGCGACATAACATCAAATGTTTTGATCCCAATGCCGACTGCAAGAACACCAGGCCTTGGCTCGGCACCCGCACATCATTTTCACTTATAAAACGATTCATTCCTGCACCTAATTCAAGCGAGAATGAATCTGACACTTTTACTAGACTATAAATGGTAAATTCTCTAGGTCTCATTCTCTCCGGCTCCCCGTAAGAGTGACCCTCTCGGTTTTAGACACCAATCGTAAGGATCTGGTCCAGTAACATCGCCTTCCTAGCAACCTGTTTAGGAAAAAAGAAAGCCAATGTTTTTTTCATTCATGTTCTTTCTTAAATATCCTCATCGTTAAGCCCTTGATTTCATGGGAGCTTTTTGCAAATCTAACTGGCTCAGGTTCGCGTTGTTGCATGTGAAAATGTGTAAGTATGTAAAAGGTGGTGGTTAGATCAAGTACCTTCTTTTGATGGTTCGAAATAATCTCTGCATTCCGCATTTACTCAGTGCCCCAGACAATAGAAGAGAACTGTAATCTCCAGCAAGCTGCTTTGTTTAATTAATTGCAATTAAGACCTTGCCCGGATAATTGCCCATTGGGCTCCTGAGGGTTCGTCCAATGAGATAATTTGCAGAAGGAAAACGGGTCTTTGGAACGTGGAGATTGAATCT